AACTTTTATTTACTTGCAACTGCAAATATGGGTTACTCCCTCAATTTGTAATTGAGCTTGCTTTCTCCCTAAGTCAAAAAGCCCAAAACACAAAAGCGCAAAATACTTATTTTGTAACTAAATCAAATCAAATCAAATATATGTCTAAGCTATCTATATTCGTCATAGCTCTTAGTCTTCTGAACACTTTGATATGCACTCTCTTCGTCATAATGTCTGCAATCCGATTCTCATTTCTGCAGTGTTCCAAGTTCATCTTCCCATCTACACACTGCTCTCGAAGATAGTGAAACCTCATTTCGATGTGTTTGCTTCGAACATGTGTTATTGGGTTCTTCACCATATTGATAGCTGACATGTTGTCGATCTTCATGGTAATTGATCCATGATCGTTACCTGTTATCTCTTCGACCAAGTTCATCATCCATTTTGCTTGACATGCACAAAGAGAAGCAACTATGTGTTCTGCTTCGCATAATGATAATACCACTATCGGTTCCTTTCTCGAACTCCAAGCAACTGATGCACCACCTAGCATGAACACATATCCTATTGTAGATTTTTGATCCTCAGCATCATTACACCAACTTGAATCAGTGTATTCAACTAACTTTCATTCTTTTCTTTTACCAGCTACAAGAAATAAAATTCCTTAGTCAAGAGTTCTTTTCAGATACCCCAATATCCTCTTCGCCGATGCTAGGTGTGATACATTTGTCTTCTGCATGAATCTACTCACCATACCTATATTGTATGCTAAGTCGGGCCTCGTGTGAAAAGGTATCATAATGATCTAATAATTTTTCTGTATTAGGTTGGGTCGACATCATCTTCTTCTAAATCTTTCGACATTTGCAACCTTGGTTCAGCAGGTGTTGATGTCGAGCCGCATTCTTTCATCTCAAATCTCTTGAGAATTTCTCTTGCATATCTTCTTTGATGCATCATCAAACCTCTACTGTTCTTGTAGAATTCGATTCCAAGGAAATACGAAATGTTACCCAGATCCGACATTTCGAATTCCTTGTTGATATCACCTTTGAACTCTTCGATCTCCTTTTTGCATCTACCTGTTATCAACAAATCATCGACATAGAGACATAGTATAAGCAATTCATTATTTCTTCTTCTTACATATACTCCATATTCAGTTATGCACTTCATAAATTCCTTCTCCCTTAGGAAACTATCTATTTTCTTATTCCAAGCTCTTGGAGCTTGCTTCAATCCGTACAGGGATTTATGAAGCCTATACACCTTTCTCTCTTCGCCATGCTTCACAAACCATACTAGTTGTGTAACATAGACTTCTTCAACTAAGGGTCCATTCAGGAATGCACATTTCACGTCCATCTGATATATACGCCAACTATTTATTTCTACTATACCAACAACTAACCCGATTGTTTCGATTCTAGCAACATGTGCAAAAACTTCATCAAAGTCTATTCCTTCTTTCTGGAAAAATCCTTTCGCCATGAGCTTTGTCTTGTGTCGAGTTACTTCCCCTTTGGAATTCATCTTTAGCTTTTTTACCCACTTGACATTGATTGACTTCTTGTCTTGAGGAAATTCCACAAGTAACCAAGTGTTATTGTCTTCGATGGACTTCACTTCTTCATTCATTGCTTTCACATGCTTCGAATCCTTCAATGCTTCAGTTGCATTGATTGGTTTGACATCTCCATAAAAAGCATAATGTATCAGCTCACCTTTATTATCAACCACATCATATGATGTAATCACACAATCTTGCAACCTTTCATACATGTCTCTTATTCTCTGAGGTTTTCTGGTACCTGGTTGATCTATAACTTCCTCTTGTCTAACTTCTCTTTCAACTTGAGTGTCTGGTTTTTCAAGTAAGATTCTCACTGAATTCTTCTTGACATTTTCAGTCCAATCCCATTCCTTAAGCTCATCTATAATCACGTCCATGTTGATCACAACCTGCTTGTTTAATGAGTCAAACAACTTGTAACTTCTATATCCTACTAGGATCATCTGACTCAACTTGTCATCAAGTTTTCTTCTCAACTGATCACGCACATGTCTATGTGCAATAGATCTAAATACCTTCAAATGACTCAAGCTTTTCTTCACACCATACGAACATTCTTCTGGAGTAATTCCTTCTAGCTTCTTCGTCGGACATCTGTTCAAAATATATGTTGTTGTTGACACAACTTTACCCCAAAACTCTTTAGGTAAATGCTTGTCTTTCAATATACTTCTCACCATAATTTTTCACATAATATGTCGAAGTCTTTTGACACATATTCTCCACCACCATCAGTTCTCAAAACTTTGAGCTTTCGACCACTTTGTCTTTCAACCATAGATTTAAACTTGGAAAATACCTCGATCACTTAAATTTTCTTCTTGATCGGGTAAGTAAATAGTTTTTGACTAAAATCATCTATGAATGTAACAAAGTATTTGTTACCTCTATTCTAATCCACCTGGATTGGTCCACATACATTAGAGTATATGATTTCTAGAATAGCCTTCGACTTGCTTCCTGCATCTTTGCTAAAGTTGTTCTTGTGATGCTTCACTTGCACACATTCCTCACACACCTTATTTGGAATGTCAATTTCTGGAAACCCTGAAACCATATTTATTCTTTTCAAATCTCTGATGTCTTTGAAGTTGAGATGGCCTAGTCAATATTTCCATATCCATTCATCTTTGCTAGTTGTAGTCGAAAGACATTTGTGCTCCATCACATTTAATTCGATCTTGAAGGTTCTATTCTGAGACATAAGAGCCTTCAAGATTAATCTTCCATTTGCTTTGACGACTCTCATCATCTTGTCTTTGATAAACACTTTATAGTTATTTTTTACCAAATGCCCTATACTGAGCAAATTGCTCTTCATGCCTGACATGTATAATACATTGGAAATTACTGTCCTCTTTCCATTTTTCCTCATAATCATAACATCACCAATACCTTCAGTTGCTAGGGTATTGTCATTTGCAAATTTTACCATGTTCTTCATCGAGGGTTTTATGTTGACAAACCAATATTTTCTTCCAGTCATGTGTGATGAGCATCCTGAATCCAAGTACCATTGGTCCTTGAGTCTATCTTTATATTTTGTTGTGACCATGAGCATCATATCTTCTTCTTTATGTTTTGCAAACTTTGCATCACTTTCTTAATTCTTTCTCTTTTATAGACAATCACTAACATAGTGATCATACTTATGACAATTGTAATACTAATGTGACTCTTGTCAGGCTTTCTACCACCACCTCTTCCTCTACCTCAAGCACCACCTCTTTGTTTGCCTTGGTAATAAGGTCTTCTTTGATTCGACACAATTCCTTCATACTGATTTCCTTTTCCAATCAAATTGTTGTAGCCACCTCTACATTTTGTCAAACCACTTTTCTTTGTCTTTACTTTCTTTTGCTGATTGTGTCTGTAAAGCCACATCACTCTTCGACTTGCCTGCAGCTCTTTCAGCCATTCGTTGTTCATGATATTCAAGCGTTCCTTGAAGCTCTTTTTTGTTAACTTTGAAAAATCCCCCGATTCTTATATGGCTACCACGTGGTCGAACTTAGGAGCCAAAGACCTCAAGATCTTTGACACAACAACTCTTGTTGTTAACGCTTCTCCACATACCTTGATTTGGTTCACTAGTTTCCTAATCCTAGTGAAGAAATCAAATATGCTCTTGTTATCTTCCCTCTGAAGCAATTCATATGTTCTTTTGTGAGTTTGTAACCTCACCTCTTTCACCTTTTCTGCACCTCCAAAAGACTTCTCAATGATCTCCAAAGCTTCTTTTGTAAATTCTGAATCCCTCATGTTTTCAAAATTTTCTGAACTCAAACATTGATGGATTATAAAGAGTGCTTTATAACTCTTCTTCTCCAATTCTATGTGTTCTTTCTTTTCTTCTTCTGAAGTGTCTTCTCTAAGCGCTTTTAATCCATCATTTACAAGATCCCAAAGACCTTGACACCTGAATATAACCTTCATCTGTTTGCACCAATTCTCATAGTTATCTACTTTCAGAATTGGAAGACTTGCTGGATAATTCTCATTACCATAATTCACCGCCATCATGATTTCTTCTTCTTCTCCTTCTTCTTCTTCTTCTTCTTCTTCTTCTTCTTCCCTTGACCGCTCAACCGGAGCTCTTGATAATAGATGTTAGAAATCCACCACCTCTATGATGAATTTCTATCAATCTCGATGAATAAGATTGTTATCACTCACATAATAACGATGAAAAGAAAAGAAATTTAAAGAAGAAAAGAATTAGGGTTTCTGCATAGTAACTCTCTGTCTACAAACTGTGGAAAAACTTGTATTCACTTGCAAGTGCAAATACTGTGAATGAATGAATTGATTACAAAAATAAGGGTTACTCCCTCTATTTATAATTGAGCTTGTTTTCTCCATAAGCCAAAAAGACTAAAACACGAAAGCCCAAAATACCTATTTTGAAACTAAATCAAATCAAATCAAATCAAATTTGTGTGTAATAATTTATTTCGACACACCTAACAATTTGACAGTCTAAACTAATTCGACACAACCTTGTGTCGAACAACATACTATTTTCGACACAAAAAATTACATTTTTAACATATATGACACATTAATCACGGTGTGCCGCCGACCCTCCTTTATTAATCTCACGCATAAATCACCCGATAGCCTCCAATCTTTTCAACCAATCCAACGGCTCAGATATATACATAAATTGACGAATATTCCTTTTTTACCCTCCGCTTTTACGAGTATGCCATGCAATAGTAATACAGTATCTTTTTTTATTCATAGATTCCTTTTTATTTTCCGTATTGCATTTTACTTTGTTCACTATAAATACCTTTCTCTCTCTGTTTCAGATTCAAGGCAAGCAGCATTTTTGAGATCATTAATAAACCACCCATTTACGTTCTACTTCTTCTCAACCATTTTTTCTTCGGGTCGTTGAAATCTTTTTCATTCCCTTTCTTACCTCTCACAAAAAATGTCTAATATTGTTATAGTTTTTGATTTTGACAAAACTATCATTGATTGTGATAGTGATAATTGGGTTATCGATGAATTAGGTTTCACCGATTCGTTCAATCACATTCTTCCCACAATGCCTTGGAATTCAGTCATGGTATGTGCTCTTTTATTAATACTCTGTTTTTCATTCATTCCAAGTTTTGCATTGTTTCAAGATATTGAGTCTTTTTGTGTTTTGGTTTTGGAATCACAGGACATGATGATGATGGAGCTTCATTCAAATGGCATTACCATTGAAGAGATTGAAAAGGTTCTTCATAGGATTCCAATTCATCACAGAATAATACCTGCTATTAAATCCGCACATGCTTCCGGATGTGATTTAAGGATTGTGAGTGATGCAAATATGTTCTTCATTGAAACTATTTTGAAGCATTTGGGAATAAGTGAATGCTTCACAGAGATTAACACTAATCCAGGTTATGTTAATCAACAAGGAAGATTAACAATTTTGCCATATCATGATTTCAACAAGGCTTCACATGGTTGTCCTAATCCCTGCCCTCCAAACATGTGCAAGGTGGTATAAATAAACTTCATGAACTTTTTTGTTATTTTATATAAAATTCACAAATCATTCAGAGTTTTACAAAAAAAAAAAACAACTTATTTTTAATAATTAAGATAGGTATTTACTTGACTCAATCTGTATACAAGTAATGATGTTGATCTATAAGGTTGGAATGTTGTCGTCTCCTAATTTTTTAGCCTTAAAAATTATGCTTAGCCAACCATCCATTTTAGTAGCTTTTTTGTCTCTTATTTGTGGCCACTTGTGCAAATATAAAATAAAGAATATTCTATATACAAAACCATCATTTTGATATATGTATCATTTATAATGTTTTTCAAAAAAGTAATTACAATTTTTTATATTTTATTTTGTGCATCACAGGGTTTAGTCATTGATAGAATTCAAAACACAATTAGTGAAGTGGATAACAAGAGGTTCATCTACCTTGGTGATGGTGCTGGTGATTACTGTCCTAGCTTGAGATTTAGAGACATGGACTTTGTGATGCCTAGGAAGAATTTTCCAGTTTGGGATTTGATATGCAAAGATCCTTCACTTGTTAAGGCCGAAATTAATGGTTGGTGTGATGGAGAAGAGTTTGAACAAGTTTTGGTGAAGTTGATCAATAACATTATGATTGAAGAAAATGCTAAATTCATTTCAAGTGATTGCAAGCTACAATCTCTTTCAACTCCTGTGTTTGAAACCTTGCCTAAACCTCTATCAGTTAGACCATAGATTATTCTTAGTTTACAAGTATTACCAATGTATCATAAAGTAATAGGTTCTTCATTATGCTACTGCTTTGTTTAACTTTAATTAACCTTTTCTGGTATTGTTAATTCTGTTAAAGATGGATCTGTAATCTAGCATATGCAAAGATCAATTTTCCTTTGATGGTGCTGATTAATTATTCTAGCAGCTATAATTTTACAATATACTATTAGCATTAGGTAAAATAAAAGGGTAACTTAACAATAGGTTTAAAAAGAAATTTTATTTTATCTATTTAAATTGAACAATTTATTTTTTTATTACAAAAATTTAAAAAGAAAGTTTATTTATATATTTAAATTGAACAATTTATTGTAATACAAAAATAATTATAATTTTTTTGTAAACTAAAGGCCAAAGATCAAGAATAAATTAAAAAGAGAGGAATCAAACAAGGAATGGGGCAATAATCAAACTCCCTCTTAGGTCTATATCTAAAGTAAGGAGTACCTTGTATCTCAAAGTCCTCATTTAATACTATCATGGATATGGTTCAACAAGGTGGAATTTATATTGTTTATACCTTATCTAACAAACTTGTCTACATAAGTATTAGCTTCCTTAAAGATATGTGATCCAATGAAGTTCATGAATTTGGTAAGATATATGCAATGCAACCATCTTGTCTTAAGCTTCCAAGGGACTAAGGCATGAGTTGAGAAAGCTCGCACAACAAATTGAGTCAAATTCTAAACACAAATATTTTCGATGATTCTAATGTGTTATTTCTGTAAGCAAAAAAATTTATTGATCAATTATATGAAATTAGAACATCAATACTTACTTATTGAAGACATGATTTGAGAATAAGGATTGATGATTTTGTCACCTTGATTCAGAATCTTGAAAAGATGAATAACCAAATCTTTCTTTATATCTCACACTCTCATTCACAACTCTCAATAGGACAAGTTGTAGAGCCGTTAATTATGTTTCTGATTCTTGTGATTACACAGGGGACCTAGCCATATAATATATATAATCCTAGTCCCTACCGATTATGGATCAATGGTTAAAGCTCATACTTTTTCCCACACCAATCAGGTTTCAGATACTCAAGCTTTAATTAAAAGAATCACTTAATCAATAAAGAAGCCATTTATGCACCTCCATTAGAATCATGGTTAACCCATTTCTCACAAACAAAAAATGAAAATTGATGGCAACCCACAAAATATCAGATAAGTCTAACATTCTCCACTTGGGCAAAATCAATTATAATTTTTAAAAAACACATTTGAAAACGACTCTTAAGACAATGCTAGCATGACCTCGGGCCATGTTGCTATTTAAAATCTCAAATGAAAGAAACAGGAGGAAAGAAGTATGAAACGAAGCCTTAGGCTTCCACACTAACTTCCAGATCCAAATGAAAGAGGCAGCCAAAATGATGGTCACACTGACTTCCAGGCCCCAATCGAAGGAATCATAAAGTCAGGCTACACCTCACTACTTCCAGGCCCCAGTCGAAGGAAGCAGAAAGGCAGACTGCATCTCATGCTGATTCCAGGCCCAATCGAAAGGCACACCCTCACTACTTCACGGCCAAATCGAAGGAAGCCGGAGAAGCAGAATCAAAGGGTTCTGCTGCCCAAACTGAAAACCCCATTTTCCTTTCTTTATTTTATTTTGTCTTTATATTTTCTTGCTATTCAATATGGTTGTAATAGTGTAGGATTTAATTTTCTGCATTTTTATTACTTTTGTATAAATGTTAGTAATTAGGATGTATGGCAAGATAAAAACCAACAAGTAGACAACCTAAAATTCAAAGACAAAATACATGCAAATTAAACACATTATTCACACACATGCACCCCTAGGGTAATCTTCACTTGTTGCCTCGGAAAATAGTCATGTCCCTCGAATATGAGCGTTTTAGCAAAGACCCTCGATAAAAGATCGTAGTCCCTTTATGACCCTCAATGTTGCCTTCGGTAAACGATCTAGTCCCTAAACGACATTGCTAAAACATCCCATAGGTTGCCTTCTATGACTATACAAACGTCCCACGCCCGTCCCTTCACATCACATGATGGGGCTTCTAACCAAATCAATGGTAAGATAACAACATCTAAAGGAGGAGGAAAAGAACATTAGACCTTTTGAGTAGGTAGGATGCTCCTAGTTGCTCGCTTGCTCACAACAAAACATTTTATACACCAACACTCTCATTTGAAACATTTTCAAAAGACAAAGCATTTTGTACGCGTTCTTATAGAGACGAGAACCATTACAAAGACACTTTTCAAAATCACTTTCAAAAACACATTCCACAAACACCTCTTTTAAACTATTTTCAAAACAAACACTTCATACGCGTTCTTATAGAAACGAGAACCATTATAAAGACGTTTTCAAAATACTTTCAAAACCCACACTACAAGCATATTTTCGAACAAAAGCAAGTGATCTAGCAAACAACTAAGAGCCCGTAGATAACTACGGATGAAAATGATGCTAATACATTCCCTTTTCATAACCTACCCCTTGAACTCAAGAAATAATCTCAAAGGTCTTTCCTGTTCTTTTCACCCTTTCCTTATTGGATAAAAGAAAAGTCGGTGGCGACTCTTGCTATCCGCAAAATTGCGATCAAACGCAAAACACCCAAGTCAGTTCTCCCGTCGTGTTACAGAACTGGCGACTCTACTGCAGATTGTAGTTAAAAATGGGGTTACCTTAGGGATATATCACCTTTACTTGCTTTCCTTGTTTGATTTACATGCTTTACATTGTTTCCTTGTTTGGGCTTGTTTTGATCCTCCACCCGGATCTGGGGCACCTTTTAGGTAAGTAGCAATAGATTGTGGGAACTATGCAGGATATACCGACATGGTTAAAGCAATAGCTATGTTAATGTGACACATTTGTTGGTATCGGTAGCCCTTGAATAGTCAAGGAGAATACGGGGCCGCTGTGTGGTGTCATGAAACACTAACTGACCTTAGAACCTTAATTGAACAACTTGGCCATTAGGAAGTAGTGAGATAGTCGGTTTTGGTGCAGTCCGAAGTTGGTTGATACTCGATGCTATGCTCATTGAGATCGTACTTTCAGGATATTTCGGTCGCCATTAAAGAGGCTTACGCTGAAACAATGTCCGATGAAGAAAGATCAATGATATTGAGATCTACTAGAACCCGTTTAATTTCTAGGACAGGTTGAGCCAACTAAACTTCAAGAGGGTACTTACCTGCAAACTCCATGCAAGCCTAAACCTAAGGACTTGTCTGCTTTGTGTGTATATGACTATTTGTACATAACAACTTATTTGCTTTGCATACTTATACATAACATCATACCATAGAATTTTCAATAACCATTTCAAGGATCTCAAGGGCCTTTGATGCAGGGTCATGTTGAACCAAACGCCTATCAAGGGGCAAGAGGATTCATTCTCTAATCAAACACCGTCAAGACTAAAGCACGGTAACTTAGGTCAAGGGCTATGGACCACTTGACATGGTGAGCTTGATTCTCGTGGAAAGACATCCATCGATATGAAGTTCTCCAATCAAAGTTGTTGATCAAAATTCAACTTCTAACATCTTATTGTGTTTACCCCGTGAGGTCTTTGAAAACATGCATCTATGTACCATCCATCATATCATGACAGGTTTCTCCCATACAAGTCTCCTTATCTTCCTACTGTTTATTTTAGTAAGATGGATATGGAACAGACGGTGAAGGACCTCCAAGCACAAAATTCTCAATTCCAACAAATGTTCCTGGCTATGGCTAAGGGGCAAGAGGACCTGAAGACTCTCATCCTTAAATACAAGAAGAAAAAGTCAAAGAAGTCAGTAGGCGTCTTGAATTTGGGAAGAAGACTTAGAGGGCCGTTCAAAAGAGCTCTAGATCTCTCAACTCCATCAAATGAGGGGAATAATCATGAAGAAGATAACAACTCAGGGGCTGATGAAGATGAAGTTGACTACTCTGAGGAACAATATCCTCCCGCTGATGATAAATACAAACAATTGGAGGATCGCCTCAATGTTATGGAGATTCAGCAGATACCCGACTTGGACTTTGAAGAGTTAGGATTGGTTTCCGGAGTGGTCATCCCACCAAAGTTCAAAATCCCTACCTATGCCAAGTATGATGAGGTCTTTTATCCTAAAATGCATCTGAGATCTTATGTCCGTAAGATTTTGCCTCACACTGCTGACCGGAAGCTATGGGTCCATTTCTTCCAAGAAAGTTTGGTTGGCACTCAACTTGAGTGGTTCTATCAGTTAGAAGGAACCGACATTCATACTTGGTAGGAATTGGTTGCTGCTTTCTACAATCAGTATCAATACAATGCTGATCTGGCGCCAACTCGCGTGCAGTTGCAGAATATGACCATGGGTTCCAACGAGGGTTTCAAAGAATATGATCAAAAATGGAGAGACTTGGCAGGCAGAGTGTAGCCACCCTTAACTGACAGGGAGTTGATTGACGTCTTTATGGGAACTTTGATGGGACCTTTCTTCAATCACCTAATCGGAAGCTCTTCAGTCGGATTCACCGAGCTAATACTGACTAGCAAAAGAGTCGAAGTTGGTATCAAAAGCGAAAATATCCAAGGAGCTACATCATCTGATACTCAGAAAAAGCCATAAAATGGGAAAAAGAGTCCAATGATGTGTACGGCCAAAAGGGTCATAACAAGAGCAATCATGACCAACACGTGGGGGAAATCCTGATCTCTAATCCTACACATGTTCAACAATGACAGGGAAATAGGCGTAGGATAAAGTACCAGGAAAGTCAGTATGCTAAGATTAATATGACATTGTCTCAAGCGTTACAATATTGGCTGAAAGCAGAGTTGATCACACTAAGGGATCCTCCTAAAAACCCTGATACCTCATCTCCTAAGTACAATCCAAATGTAAGACGTGCCTACCATTCTGATAGTTCTGGACACGACACTGACAGCTGTTGGACTTTGAAGAACAAGATTCAAGATTTGA